TTCTTTCTTATTCTCCTTTAAAATGTCTAGCTTTTAATAAATAATTATCTGAATCTTACACCCAAAGTTTTAATCTGATGTAAAATGTATAGAAGTCCATTACTGTATATAGTAACTATTAAGTCTAATATACCCTAGTAAGCTATACTACTTTTTCCTTTGGGAAGGTACGATCTGTGCAGTCTGCAGTTCTGTTGAAGAAAGATGTTGAATCTATTTAATTATTCTTGAAAAATAATTTATTTCTGTGCATTTTTCCCCACACTGCATCAAATTGAAGTTGATTACATCGATTAAGCATCATGAGGTGGAGGGTGGTTCCCTATTTTTCTTTTTTTTTTTGCTGGGAGTTTGCAACCCTATTAGTTAGGTTGCTTACTCTTTAAAATACCAGAATAGGGAGGATGGAGCAGGTTTAAGTTCATTAGATTGATCAGTATTGCTGAACTATGACATATTTTGGGTGCAATATATTTTTTGCATACAGGTATAACAGAATAGCTTTAGTGTTTGTTTTTTTTAACTTGAGTTTGAACTTATACAAAATGCAGCAAGATATTAAAAAAACAGTTTTATTTATTAAAAACACACTATATCGGATTCATATCGGTATCGGCAGATATCCAAATTTATGATATTGGTATTGGTATCGGACATAAAAAAGTCGTATTGTGCCATCTCTAACGGTACTGGTATAAGAATTTGGAAAAGCTGGAATTTCTGTATCCCCGCCTGCTTCAAACAACAGTGACCACACATTATGAAGGCTGGGTTGCCAAGCTTTGCAGAGTCAGTTGACCTGTGAGTGAATAAATGCTGATTTTACCCTTTCCCACTGAAGGCAAAACCCAGATGTTCGTGGGTGTTTTGTTTTTTTGTTTTGTTTTTTTTAACCAACTGAGAAAAGATTTAACAAGATAGGATGGGAAAAAAGCAATAAAAATGTAAACGTTTATAATTAAATTCTGAGCTAAGAGGGCGTCAAAATCTAACATTTCACTTATTCACTGATGTAATTGACTTTAGTCTTTATCTTTAAGCGGTGCACAGGATTATGTCAGTCAGTGCTGGGATTTCTGACGGGGAAATGTGAGTTATGGGGTGTGTTTGAATGTGATGTGACTTCAGATGTAGTTGTTGTTTTCTCTGGCAGGGAATGAGCTGAGCAATACGGCCTCATGGTGAGATTTTCTTGCATGTGGATGATGTTTATGATGATGAATTTTCCTTGTGTGAAGCCATATTTTTTAGGGGGGGTGACGGTAAATCGGTTCAGGGGGTCACGCTTGTGGATTTTGCATTGAATGGCTTTTGTAGTACTTCTGTACATCTAACCACTGGTGGAAGATGCATGCGTTTTTATTATTAATACTGGTCATTATTTTAAATCCCTGGTGCTTTGTTTGCAAAGCGCTAAACATTAATCTGTGAAACTGCAAGAAAGTGAGATGTATAGCGTGCAGTAACGGCAGGTCAGCCTCATTTTCGTGTGAATAATTTGTAATAATAAACAACCGGTAATTGCACAAAAGTTCTGCTTGAAATGATGATTGATGCCTCGTTCATTATGAATGAGCACTTCAGCTCTATTATTGAGCAAATATTTGTTGTTCTTATGCCGTAACCTCTTCAGGTTTGGTCTACCATTAAAACAAATATTTAAAGGTTGCAAAGTGTCTTTGCTGTTTTCTGATATGAATGTTCACAGTTCAAAGGTGTTAAAAAGCATCATCTCTTCCTCAGGCGCTGGACCAGGACCGAACCTCCCTGCAGAAGGTGAAGAAGTCAGTGAAGGCCATCTACAGTTCAGGTCAAGGTGAGAGAGTCTGTTTCTAAATCTGTCAGGCTTTGCTGTGCTTTGACTAATGTTTGGATACAGCCTTGTAGCCCTTTCCTGAAAGTCAAACCCCCAGAGCCCAGGATTTGTTAAATATCTTTAATAAGAATGAGGCTTGCTGCTTTTTTTGGTTTGTGCGTGTCTGGAATGCAGCCTTGTGTTGGACAGATGGTGTTTGTTGCATGTATCGGGCCGTCCCAGAAACCAACACCTGAGTTTGTTTAGTGTGTTGCTGTGACATGGATCCTCAGTAATTTTCCACTGAACGCTTGCGAGAGCCTCCTCCCTGTAAAATGACAGTTTGTGATGCTTGACCCACAAAAAAAGTTTATTTTTTCTCCTCAGAAAAGAGTCTGTTTACCTTTGTCTCATTGTGGCTCTTCTGGAGAAACAGCTGGATTAACTTGAAGCCAGCTGTTACGCAAGTTTTTAGTTTCCTCCGAGTTAAAGTAAGATAAAGGCCTTAATTCTGTTAGTGTTTCATATGTGATACACTTGAGTTTTTGAGACCTCTGCATCATTGGTACGATTTATTTATCTATTTTCCCATGAGAAAGCTGATGTATACTATCAGATAATGCACAGAGATGCCAATTATTTCATAATTGAGGCTTTAAAGGGTTAAAGTGATTGCAAAACAGAGACATGGACGTCCCACTGATGGTTTGCTCAGTTAAAATATATTTAAAAATTGTGATATCAGTCCCAGTAGTGTGCCAGCAGTGCTGTGGTGGCAACTGTTTGATCAGTTTACCCCGAGGCCACACATACTGAGATTTTTCTTTAACCTAAGTCAACTTCTCCAAAAGCTTTTCATCATTTTTGCAGCAGCTGAATCACTGGTGTAGTGAGAATAATGGAAAGTTGTTTTTTTTTAGAAATGTATGTTTTAAACATCACAGGCTGGGATTTCCTACATCTTATCACTGTGTTGTCATGTTTGGCATTGAACCCTGGCAACAAAGTCGGAGTAGCAAGATTTACAGCAGAAGCCTTGAGACTAATCCTAACCTACCCCTTTTTTTCTTTCTTTTTTTGCATAAAAATGATTGAAAAACGATGATCGAAAACTTGTATTAGAGCATTTTAGAATATGTGTCATAGATCTTACAGATCTAACAGTCCTGCTACTGTGATATGAGGAATTTGAGTTTACAAACTCAAACTCATATTGTAACTGCCGCCCTCACAGCAGCCACTGGGCCGCCAGAGGATCCTCATACAGGAGCCTGCTGACTGCTTGCCTCATATTAAAAAAAAACAAACCCAAAACAAAACCAAAAGATGACCAAACGTCTACTGTCAGGGCCCCTAAGCCTGAGCGAGAAACTCCATCTCACTTTGTCCCGATCTTATTTTAAATAAATGCGATATACCTTTGTCCTTATAAATGTTTTCGTTGTTTATATTTTTAATCTAACCCGTTTAAAAATGTTAAGGTTGTTTTATTTTTTTGCTATTTATCTTATTTTGACTTTGTGTTTCAGTCTTGCTTGGCCTGGATTAAATTGATATGAAAATTGTTTATACAGAACTGTGCAAAAGTCTTGAGCCACGCCTCATTTCTTAATATTTTGCCATAAGAATGTGAAATGGGTGCATACACGCATATGGAGGTTCAGGCATGAAGATGGGTGCACACTATGAAGCTACAGCAACAATATATTAATGTATTAATGGAGAAATTTGATTTTTTTTTAAATGATGCTGGCTTTAAAGACACATCCCAGAAAGTTGATGTAGCTCATCTGGATTCAGTGTTTTCAGTGGTAGAAACTTTTTGTCACGTCATCCAAGTAACTTCTTCAGTCTTGGTCATAAAAGTCTGAGTTTGTAGCCCATTGTTAGACAGCTACTTCTGGTCATTAAGCAACAGTATGAGGATAGAGGAACCTGCAGTCAGCTAGATGAGTGATGAAATATTTCTCCCTCTGAAAATGCAACGACCAAACGAACCTGGATTTTTGAGCGTGCATCAAAACACCTCCAAAGACGCTCTTTACCAATCAGAAGCAACAGTGCTTATTATAAAATTACCAAAATTAATGAAGATACATATAATCTTTTGTGTTCTGTCTTATCTTTGGTTTTGCTAGGATTTTATTTAAATCCTCGAGGTCGTTTCAATTTTTCTGTGAGCTGTTTTGTAATTTTTCCTCTACAACTCCAACAGCGAGCAGCAGCAGGTGCTCAGGTTTTATACGAGGCACGATGAGGTCACGTCGCCTCAGACGGAGACGCCAAGTGTAGTCTGCATAATGGCCGTCTTCCAGGTGGCTTGTTTCTGTGTACTTAAATCTTCAATTTCATTCATGTAGAAATCACATTTGTATGGAAAACAACAGAGAGCTTACACTCCTTCCAATTTGACCCTTTTGTGTGACTCCTCCTTGGCCTGAAACTCAACAGACGATGGAGATGGAGCAAAGTTTTCATGTCTCATAAAGTCACAGCAGCCAGCCACAGAAATGGGAAGTGTGCCAGGTTGAATTCAACTTATTCTTTAATGCAGCTGCACAGTGAGCAATAAACATCCTGTGTTACATCGTTGTGCAGTTTGAATCCAGGGAAAGATTTGCAGAGTATGCAAATGTAAAGATAAAGAAATTACGAAGTACTAGTTACAGAACTAGGGATTGATTATTTTTTTTTAACTGATTCATTAATGTAACAATGAAAGTGGAAGGATATTAAGAACTTGAACTTTTAAGCTTGGTGAATCTAAAGACCTCTCATGCTACCTCTCCACTGTAACCCACTAATTTCCTGCTGGGCTCCTAAACCCCTTAAATACCCAGAAAATCTGTAGAAAATACAGAAAATACAAAACGTCCTCAATAGTAACTTCGGGACTGTTTGAACTTTGAGTTTCCACTGTGACGCGCGTCCAAATTGGCTGCTGTGGGGACTAAGCTCTGCGTGTTTCTAGTCTCACCTGACCTCCCTGCCAGGTCTCCTCTCTAGATTTGGCAACAGTCTAAACACGTCCCCCTCCACCTCCTCTCCAGCTTAACGACAGCGACAGATGGATGCTGCTCTTTGACTGACGGCTCTCGGGGAGTTTCGCAGACCCTGAGAACAACGTGTCTTGTTCCATTGACAGTAACTGTATATAAAGATGACTTGCTATTGTCAAAATGTATAAAACAAAGTTTCTCAGGAGTGAAGGTCATGTGTCTTGTTTTATTGCTCGTGCTGCTGCTCTGCTGAAGGAACTTTCCACTGCAGGATCTGCTGAGTATTTCTGCCACATTTGTCTTATTGGAAACATCCCTAGGAAAGATTTACACTTCTGTTTGTTTCAGGTGTGTGTCTGTGTTGCCTTTGAGAACAAAAAAAAGATGCTGGACTGAAATACTTTCTCTATCCACAGCCTTTTTGTTTCTCACTTTCTTTAACTTGAGCTGTAAAATCTTAGCTTTAGAACATTCTTGGTCATAAATTTACAAACCTCTCCAACTCACATCCAGATCATCAGAAATAAATATGTGCAAAGCTGAAAGCAGCTGAACTTGATTCTATAAAGTGAACTTTATGGTCCTTTGATTGGCTTTGTTAGTCCATGTTAGAGACCGGGTTTGCAAGAGGCTGCATATTCTTCCTTTGGTCTCTATTAGAGTAGCTTTGCAGAACTTTCAGATCAAAATAATGCTTATTTATCTTATTCTGGTGCAGCCCCTCAGTTTATTCTGCTCCTCTCCCTCTATGCTCCAGTCACATGATCTCAAACATTTGAGACTGATCGCATGACCACAAATTATTGCATTATGTTCACTGAACCTGTGATGTCACTGCCTTTGAAACAGTTCATTCAAAGACAGGGATCGGGTCTGCGGCACCTCGTAGTCAGCTGCCGTCAACATAGTGAATTTGGTGTGCCAAGACAGCAATAAGACCGAGTCAGTCTGCTATCAGTTTGCTGTTTAATGTGATCAAGTTGGCAGCTTCATGCAATCGGTGACATTTTGGTAAATTCACATTTACTAATTACATTTGGAGTCCAGCCAGAACCTCACAGATCCGAAGCATTAATTCAGAGATTGCTCCATAAATAGTCACGTAGTTGCATCAGGTGGCTATTTAACAGCAAAACCCCATAGGCGTTTGTTGCGACCTTTCTTTTGAATAGACTTATAACCATAATACAATCGGCTGGGAACCAGTTGCAGAGTAAGAGATGAGTTGCAGATGATCATCGGTGCAGACAGAGTCATATTTATTGCAACGTGTTGAGAATCTGTCTGCGCTTTTATATTAGATGATGCATAGACTGGTGAAAGTTTGCAGTTGTCTGAGAGTGACTGTAGTCAGTCCAAGTCAAATCAAAGATTGTGGGTGATGCAGTCTCAACTTCTGGGAACTATTTGGTTGCAATTTGCAATTGGTCGTTAAATGAGAAAAGACTCGATGTAATCACTAATCAAGCGTTTTGTTTAGTCTAAAGCAGAGATGTCAAACTCATTTTACATCATGGGCCACATGCAGTCCACTGTGGTGATGAGTGGGCCGGAGCATGTATCAGAAACGGACAGAAAATAAGTAAAGGCATAACGGGTCCGCTTTAAAAAAATGTCACAGTACTGCCCACTGAAGGATTTGGCCACTGGGATGTGAAGGGTGTGGGTGAAGGGCCTCCAGGTGTTATTAAATGGTCCTCAATGAAATGACAGGGCAAGTGTGTGAGTTTTGAAGGAAGAGGCCACTCAAGCATCTACAGTTTCTGCTTCCCCGCTCTTGCTATTTGGAAGATAATATTATTATTATTATCATCAGTAAAGTATTATTATTTTATATTTATATATTTATTATTATTTTTTTATGTCTCGTCAATTAAATTCTGAACTGTTCGTCGAGTGAAGAGCTGCGACTTGAGATCAAGTGTGTGAGTTGGCCCAAATCTCTGGGACGGAGACTGGGAATCTGGGTTGATGATTTCACTCGGAGTCCTTTGCCATCCACTTAGGCCCATCTTCCTATACCGGACAGCCAATGTGTGGTACATGGTGTGTGCGACACCTCTTTTCGATTGCAGCTAGAGTGGTGCGAAAGTAAGGATTTACACATGTAGATACAGAGTGGGTCAGCGACTGTAGCAATAACTACGGTATATCAGAGGTGTTGTCTTTTCTTTTCTTTTTCTGAACTCATAATGCAAGCCGAGCGCTCTCCTCTGAGTGGGTTTTAGAGGTCATTAAAGCTCATTCTTCTTTCTTAGAAACATGTAAAAGGATCTCAAGATTTTCTGATATGATGTGGAGAAAAATGCCCCAAGAAGCAAAGTTTCTGGCTTTGTTCCCAAGTTTCTGTTCTCGATGTTTTTTAACAGTTTCAAAACAGGACATAACAGGTTTCACTTCATTTTTTTTTCTTTTCTTTTTTTTTAAATAAGCTTATACTTCTTAAATATTAAATGTCTAAACAGAAAGAGCTTTTAAGGAACTTAAACCCTAAAACTGATTCAAAAAACATATAATTCACTACCTGGTCGCTGTGTGTGCACCTGAAGAAGGACACTGATGTTTTTTCCCCGCAGGATGTCATTAAAAGTTATAGCATTTGGCATGCTGAATTGCGTAATTAAATCATACAGGGGCCTCCAATTCAAGGAAATTTCTGTACTATATAAAAATCTAAGAGAGAACACGGCAACATCAACTGAATACATAAAAAAGAAATGGGAGCAGGAAATAAAAACTGATATCTCAACTGAGGAATGGTTAGATATGTGTGAAACCCAGAACACAACGACTAACTCAAGATGCTGGAGAGAATTTGGATGGAAACATCTTACTCGATTCTCTATTACACCAAAAAGTAAACAGACTCAAGACAGTTTGCCATGCTGGAGAAGATGTGGTAACATGGAAGCACACCATACGCACGTGTTTTGGGAGTGCCTGAAACTGCATAATTTTTGGAAGAACGTGACTCTTGTAATAGGCAATATCTTGGGCTATCAATTACCACACAATTTTAAAACTGTATATTTTGGGAATATTAGAGAGTATGTTATGTACGACGACTTGTATTTGACAAAAATCCTGTTGATAGCTGCAAAGAAAGCTATAACAAGAAACTGGTGCAAACTGGATCCGCCTTCTTCAAAAGACTGGTTAAATATTGTTGGAGAAATCTATGCAATGGAAAAAATGACTTACATTCTCAGATTAAAGGAAGATATTTTCGTTGCTAAGTGGGAGAAGTGGAGATTATATGGCACCAAGGAAAATTAATGAACGAACAAAACATCTAAGGTCTATAACTCTGTATATCTATTGATCCTTGCCCGTATAAAAGTACGTATATAAGCTGGAGTATGTATGCTGCGGAGTAAAGGCAGGTATGCATACGGTAGTTGATTAGAATTGGCACCCACACCTTTTGTTCGCTTTAGTTCCGTTTGTTTTGACTGTGTGCTTGCATGGTTATTTTTCCTGTAATGCAATACATGTCTGTGTTTAAACTGTGACAAAACTATCAATAAAAATTACAGTGTCAAAAAAAAACAAAAAAAAAACTTATAGCATTTAAACTGACCACTGCCCCATCCCCTTCTTTACACAGACCACGTCCAGAATGAAGAAAATTACGCCCAGGCTCTGGATAAGTTTGGCAGCAACTTCATCAGCCGGGACAACCCCGACCTGGGAACTGCCTTCGTCAAGTTCTCTTCCCTCACCAAGGAACTGTCGGCACTCCTGAAGAACCTGGTGAGTCCAGCGTGTCAGCACTCAAAGTGTCATTAAAATAAATGGCTTGGAGAGCCTTTACTGCTGGCCTGGTGTATGCAAGGATAGAAAGAGGAATCCTTTCCATACACAGCTTACGTTTGCTGTCTTCACTTGGATCAGTGGGATAGATTAGGATTACTTTAGTTTAAAGGTGAAGATTGGAAGGTTGGATGAAGCAGCTAACACCTGAGTTATGCGTTTGTACAGGTCCCAGCTGAATAATACATGTTCATCAATCTCTGCTCTCGCCTACGCAGTCAAAACATCATGGCGACTGGACAGTATAGCTGACTTTATCCACCTTTTTCCTTACCAGACGGGCTCTTATCTGCCTGCTGTGGATTTCCCCGACGTTTCTGTTGAATAATGTGTCCTATTTGAATCCTCTGTGAATAATTGTTGTTTGAAGAGTCAGACCACGCGCTCTCTCTTTCTCTTTCTTTTGCTCTCTCTCTCATCCTGTGTGGCTCACGGGGAGATTAGACTCCATAAATAAACTTGGCAGCACCAGGAACAACTGCATGCGTGTTTGTGTGCATGCGTGTCCGTGTGGAAACCACCTTAAATCACTCACCTGTCTGAGCTGCCTGCATATTGAAACAAACATCTCTTGACTTTTTCATTTTAAGTATTTCATCGAGTGCATTTTTCAGACTTCAATAACGGCGCCCTGAGGGCAGCTGGTGTGTGCGTGTACTACAAATGAGTATCGATGAGCGGCGCTTGCCCTAGATGTCCTACATGTGTCATCAGCTGAAATTTAAGGATTTCGCAATCAGATAGAAGCAGCTTTTCTGTGTCTTCTTCTCTGTTTTCCTTCTGAGAAGACAGTGACAGTTTCCAGGATGGCTGTTAGAGCACATCGGCAGCCGGCCAATGAAAGATTGATTCTGACAATAACATATGCAAGACAGGCACTTAAGAAGCACATTAGCGCCCATTAAGCATTGTTTACTTCCTCGAACGCTGCAGTGAGGCGCTGTGGACTTGGCTAACAGCAACAACCGGGACTTAAATGCTTAGTGGTGTTGTGAGTGACCTTGCTGATCCTAATGGTTAGAGCTGCTGAGCCTAGCTGCGGCAACCCGAGCTGCTGCAGACATCGTTCTTTGACGGACTCACTTGCATGTGCGCCATTTTCCTGTGGCATTTGCTCGTTGCTTCAGTCAGCTGCAGCAGGAATGTGTTGATAAAGTGCAGTGAAGGTTAAAAAAACAAGGCTGGTGCTGTTTTGTTTTTCTCTCAAATCCAAAGATGCACTGAAGATGCACTGCTTTAAAACCGTGCTTTTTCATTTCATTTTAATGGGATCAAAGGCCTGTGTGTAAAGTGGAAGGAATGGTTTCTTATTACTTATCTGCGGACCGTTTTAGCATTTTTCAGCTCATTGTTTTAGTTTCACATTCAATTCAATTCAATTTTATTTATATAGCGCCAAATCACAACAAAAGTCGCCTCAAGGCATTCCCCCCTTTGGTTTTGATTCATGCTCATTACTTTAATCTGACTCAAGATTCATTGTTTCAGTTTTCTTATTGATCCCTGTTTTTTTTTTTCTCCAGTCTTTGTTAGTTAAAAAATGGGCCTACTTATGTGTTTAGCTTTTTTTTTAACATAATGTTGAAAGCTTGTATGTGAATCAGCTGTGCAAAAACTCCACCGACATGTTTGATGTTACTAATTCTGATTTATTGAACAAATCGGAGCTGGTTGCCAATTCCCATTATAGTCTAGCCCCCAGTAAAAGTTGTATTCAACACTCCATGACCCAGTAGCAGACAAAGCTGGTGATTTGCTGCCACAGCCTTTAGCAATTAAACCACACAATGCTAACTGGAATAGTGGAAACCAAAAGTGGGGCACACAAGAGATGACTCGACTTCCCGGCACTAGACATTCGATGGGAGAGCTCCTTTCCCAACAGGAGAAACTGGCAGTGTTGTGGTGGGCTGCTATAATTTCATGTTATCTTTATGAACTCCTACTGCTGAGAGTAAATATTACACTAGACAGTCATGATAGATGTTGGACAGGTGCTCTCACGTCTGCAGCCTCATGCAAACACTGAGCTGAAACTGATTAGACGATCACCTCTTGCAGGATCTCTACTTCTGGATTCCATACTGAAACCAACATCACAGACTGCTTGCAAACTTTCAGTGAAACTTGTTTCTGAGTTCGTTTGAGGTGATGAAGAAGTCACGCAGATGTTGGTTATTTTTTAGAGCCTGACTACGAATAGATTCAGAGTTTGTCATGAGGTCCTAGAGCAGGAGTGCCAAACATAAGGCCCAGAATTGACTCTGATCTGGCCCACTGACAGTTTTTCAAATGCTAAACATTTACTGTCAATTAATGAAAACTAGTTCTGATAAATGAGAACTTTATATGCTAAATTTGGAATTCCAGGACCGTCTATGCACGACTTAAAATGAGTTTCACATTCCTGTTCTAGAGGCATTGGATCCTGTCAGATGCATTGCATTTGCATAAAATAAGTTTATGCAGATGTCCCATCTCTGGATGCGTTGCACAGGCAGTAGACAATGAACGAGAAACACAGAAGTGAGAGATCCT